CTAAACCTGCACGCCTCAAATGCATCAAGATACTTGCCATGCATGCATTTATAAGTCACATACATCAAGGCATTTGCTCTGCATGCACTTCCAAGTCACATGCATCAAGACACTTACTCTGCATGCAACTACATGTCACATGCACTCGTGGATTATAAATAGAGGTTCTTTACCCAGCAAAATCTGCTCACACTCAAACTCTCAAACTCTCAAACTCTCAAATTCTCAAAGTCTCAAACTCTCAAACTCTCAAACTCTCAAACTCTCAATTTCTCAAACTCTCTAACTTTCAAACTCTCAAACTCTCAAACTCTCAAATTCTCAATTTCTCAAACTCTCAAACTCTCAAACTCTCAAACTCTACTCACCCAGTAAATTCGTAAACCACAATGTCTCTACTCGCAATGGGCAACTCTCACAGAGGCACGATTGAGAACATCACTGAGTTTATAAGTTTTTAATTTTTGTCTATGTTTACGATCTTTAGTTCTCCTATAAAACTAACGAAACATTATTTATTTTGCAGAATGCATCAAGGTTTCGATGTCGTGTGCATGATTACATACCACACGACCCCCTCATAGAGGGATACCTTGAACATTGTGGGTTTGGTAATTTGATTAAAATCAAATCATACTCACTCGATGTGAAGTTCATTCTAGCGTTGTTAGAATGCTGGAGACCAGAGACACATACATTTCACCTACCTTTCGGTGAGTGCACTGTGACTCTTCAAGATGTCTACATGTTGCTCGGCCTACACATCAATGGTAAGGCCGTCAACGGCAAAGTTGGTGTTAACGACCAACTTTGCGAAGATTTATTGGGCGCCCCTCTTTGTGTGGACGCAACTGAGGCCAAACGCGAGGGTCACTCAAGGGGTTAGGGAATAAATCTTAAATACCTCAGACAACAATACAACAATATTGTCTTAAGTGAGAATAGAATTGACTATGAGAAAATACTCAAAACTCGATGCTATATTATGATTTTGTTTGGTCTTTTTTTCTTCCAGAGAGCACTGGAAATACCGTAAATATTATGTATTTACCATTGCTACAAAACATAAACAAAGTGTGCGACTATAGTTGGGGATCAACTGTCCTCGCCCATCTATATAGTGCACTGTGTAAATATTCAAAAAAAAAATCCTTTACTTTTTATGGTTGCGCCTATCTCCTTCAAGTTTGGGGTTGGTTTAGGATGCCAACGCTTGCTCCAGTAAACCGAAATCCGTTTACATTCCCGTATGCTAACAAGTAAGTTTCTTTTCAAGACTATTTAGCAACCAAAGTTTCTTTGTAAGTTAATAATTTGTGAGATGTGTTTTAGATGCTAACTTATCTATGTTTCTTTTTTTTAGGTGGTATGTTCTAGGGATGAATTATCAGAAATGTCCCAGGAACTCCATAATTATGTACCGGAACCTCATCGACCACCTTGGGCAAAATGATGTAAGTTATCTACCTTTACTTTGTATAACTTATATGCATAAACTTGTATATCTTTGTCTGACTAAATGTATCTACCTTTATTATAGTTTGTCTGGATGTCGTACGAGGGTCTCGACCACCAGCCCGACGCCAATGATGTTGTTGTGTGGACATCAAAAACACCCATCATTAGGTTCACTACGGTGGAGATGCACCAAAGTGACCAGGTGAAGTTACAATTTGGGATGCATCAAGATATTCCAGATGCTCCGACATCATTGGGGCAGTGGCATCAGTAACAGGTGGACTCACAGTGGAGTGCCAATAATTGGAAGGAGTTTGTGAAGGAGATGTATCAACATTGGAAGAACAGAAGGTAACACATCTTAACCGACCGAATTGTGGAAGGGGATAGGCCAAGTTATCAATATATGACTTGGTTTAGGTCGGTTACAACATCTCAGCCAATTCTGTCCGAGCCAACCTATTTGATTGACTCAAGGCAACACGCTTCTTCATCAAACACACAATAACAATCCAATGCCCAACGTTAGCCTTACCATAACCCATACATGCCACCAAATGCCCAACATCAACATCCTTACCATGACCCGTACATCCCACCTAGTCACAACATCAACCACCATACCAATATAGCCTTGATACGTCTTTTAACCCTACCCCTCCACCTATAGCCCAGATAACTCATTTGACCCTACCCCTCCAACTATCCACTATTTGACTACCAAACCCCACAATAACCAACACACCATTTTCAACCCAATTCGATGTACGAATTGGGACAACCATACTGTCCATACTCCACCCAACCTCCCCGACAATCCTACGAAAACATGGGCGTTGGGCCTAACTACGGAAGCGCCGTTGATAGTGGACCTCCCGGCTATTGGGGTCAAATGCTTCAAAATTTATCTGATACGTCGGGGCCGTCCCAACAAAACCCTCCTCCACAACTCAACACACAAAGACCGGACACAACAACCTCGTCGTAGACTTCGTCGCAACACGCATCCTCCATAATGTGGCACCGGTGGTCGCTTGGATAGAGCCGACAATTATTTTTTTTTGTTCAATTGTAATTTTTATTATATTGTAAATTAATATATTTTAATATTTATTACATGTCTATATATTTTAAGGTTATTCAAATTTCAATTAAATATGAAAAACATAAACTATAATTTAATATCTATTCCATTTCTTTTTTTTTCATTATTTAGATTTTAATTAATTATGAAAAACAAAAAACATAATTTAATATTTATTCCATTTCTTTTTTTAACATTATTTAAAATTCAGTTAATTATGAAAAATAAAAAAACATAAATTAATATTTATTTCATTTATCTTTTTTAATAAAAAATAATTATTAAAACATAATTTAATATTTTTTTATAAAAACATAATTGAAAATAAAACAACTAATTAATGCGTAAACCCTAAAAGAAAAAGAAACTACATGGGCCAATCGCCAAACCGTTTGACGACTTCTCTCAAAGTCCAATGCTGAGTCGCCATCTCAATGGGCGAATGCAACAAAATTAGACTGAATTGCCACTTCAATTGGGGAGTGAATGCTGAATCCTAGCCACTTTAGAATTTTTTTTAAAATTTTAATTTATTTAATATTTAATTTAAATAACATAGTTATATTAAAAAAAATTCTCCAATCTCTCGTTTTCATTTTCCAAATTAAACTTAATAAAGTAGGTCGTTGCAAATGGTAGATTTTCAAATCTTTTTTAACTATTAATTTCTAGAATGTGTTTGTAAATAAATAAATAAAAAATTAGAATGTGTTAGATATCATCATAGAAATATAATAGAAATGCAATAGACTTTTATTATGATATTTTTATCATATCATTTATTTTTATATAAATAATAAAAATATAATTCTATGATTTTATCTTTTTATGTTTTTAATATATTTTTTATTGAATAATTCAGATATATTTTACTTACAACTATATAGATTAAATTTTTTTAGCCGATAATAATTACATGTAGAATTGTTTTTAAACTAATATTTTTTGTTGTTGGAATATTTAGAATGAAGATGTATTAATGAAGTAAATACCTTGTTGACCAAGTAAAAAACGATTAATTTTGATTGGTTCAATTTCATTTTTTCCTACATTTTTCTCTCATGTTCTCTCCACTTGGATAAGATACTAAGTTATAAATAGCACACTTTCATCATTTATTTCTCATACTAGATTTCATATCCTAAAATTTCTCTCTTCTTTTTCATATTCATTTCTTCTAAAAAAAAATTATTTTTTACTTTTAAGTGGATTTATTTTCTATTTTCAAGTGGATTGTCTGCGTCATCAAGTAGTTTTAACGACAATAGATTATGTATCTTCTGAACAATATCTATTGCGCAAATAATTATCGTGCAATTGAATTAAATTGTTTTATTCTTAAAATTCCGTGATAATTAGATTGTTTTGCATATTTTTAGAAAGTATTACATAACATTTTAAAGAGAATGGACTTTTCTTTGACTCATCTCAATAACTTTTTCTTTAGTCATTCTTTTCAAAACCGTGAAATAATAATTTTGATTAAATTTCAAAAAAGCTTTTATCATCTCTAAAATATATTATTTTAATCTCTTCCAAATATTTTTTTAAAGAAAAAATCTATATATTTTGCAATCGAGATATTTTAGGTGTTGAAAATAAGTAAGTCTAAAATAGCATTCGCAAGCAAAAGTCTATTTTTCTGCCACGAACTATAGACCAACAAAATAAAATCAATGAAATAGTTTGAAAAGTTGGGTGACTATTTATTAGACATTATACTTTGACTTTATAAATATAAAGAACAAGACTAATCCTCCATCTCACCAAAATTTTAGTTGTATTTGTTTTTATGCAGTCTGATAATCTGCTTGACCAAAAATATAGGAGAACAAAATTATTAAAATACGTAGACACAACAATTGCTCCAAAAATACAGGAGAACAAAATTATTTATAAAATAATATTAAAAATTTTATCTATTAAAGTTAACGAATAATCAATATATCTTATTTACTATATTATTTATATAGTGTTCAAATGTGAGTTATTTAATATATTTAATTTTTTTAAATAAATAAAGATAAAGTATACTGGTAGCATTAAACTTCATTCTAGTGGAACTTGAAAAAGGAAATGAAATACATTTGGGTCCGCATAATATATTGGAAGATGTATGTTGAGACATTGAAAAACATTTTATTACTTTATTTACTCAAACATTTTGGTCGTTTGGGATCCAACTTTAATTCTATAGATAAAGTTTTTACCATTATGAGTTTTTTTTTTTGCTATTTTGCTATTTTATTTTATTTTATATATTTTTTATTGTTGTGGTCTCCCTCATTTTATATAATCTTGATGGCATTATTCCAACTCATTTTATCTGTGCCTTTAGAGTTAGTGATTGATTTGGATTTGAATACATGTTCCGTTTTTTACATAATACTTGTCCATGTTTATCATGAACTCACTTACTTGCATATTTTTTCAGTGGGCTGATTGTGTGTCACAAGTGATGCGGATGTATCCTTTTGCTTTTGAGTTTTCTGCGGTATATGTTGTTGAATATTTCTGTATTTGTTTTCTTTGTAAAACTCTTTATGTGTCTTGCTGGCTGGTAACTTATACTATTTCATTATTCAGGCTTTCCTGGTAGACTTCTTAGACTGCATGTTCTCTTCTCGCTTTGGAAACTTCTTCTTTAATAGGTATTTCTGTTATGTGCATTAAGGGAAGTGCAGTTTCCGTGTATCTGGTTATTGAACTCTGTTATGATTGCTTCTGTTTTTCAGTGAGAAGGAGAGGCTGCAGTGCGATGTTTTTGAAAGTTGTGGATGCGTATGGGCATACCTGGCTGATATGCGGAGATCAGAAGGAGGTTCCCATGTGCACTTTAATCCCTTTTATGGGCCTCTTCTCCCCCCAGCAGCAGCGTTAGCCCCAACTTTATGGCCCCAATTCCACCTTCGTTGGGCCTGCCCAGAAGAAGCACAGAGTGGAGAGATTGAAGCACAATGTAGGAAGATAAAACTGAAAAATTCTGAGATGGAGAAGGTAAATGTATAGCACGGACACATAACACGACAGAAACATGTTGACACTACCACGGTAAAAAAACATATGACACTTGACCTTTTATCCATCTACTATTACAAAAGTAAAAAAACTTTCTGATCAAATTTAATGTTTTTAATTCATCATTGATCAACATTGCTTCAACACATCTTTAATCCTTTTTAATGTATTTGAGATTTGTCTAAGAAATGTACAAGGTCTGTGGAAGAAAAAAGAACATTTTTTTTTGGGGCACTTGTTTTATTTGTCTAACACATGTGGTATGAGTGTGTGGTAGACACTTATTTAAAAAATGTTGAAGCATAGAAAAATCAATATTTTTGGGACACACTGAGTTTTTTGACACGGATTGTAGGGGTGTCATACAAGTGCCGGACATTGTGGCACACCTTAACCTTGAGGCGTATGTGCTTCATAGTTATTGTTGCAATTTCCGCGTTCATTGCAGTCCGTCTCTAGTTGGCTAAATTGTGGCATTTGACTTGTCTTCATTGTAGCCTCCAACACTTTCATTGTGTTGGGTTTGATCTATGTTATGTTAATAAGTCAGGACAATCCTCACCTTACAAGCCGGTTTTGTAGGGATGAGTTAGGACAAATGCAATTTCTAAGATGGTATCAGAGCCTATCTTAGATAACTTGTTGGGCTTTCCCCATCGTCCACACTTCAGCCTCATCAAGGTTCCATGCGTGAGGTGGTGCATTGGAATTTCCGTCTTCATTGCGGTCCGCCCCTAGTTGCCTAAATTGTGGCATTTGGTTTGTCTTCATTGCAGTCTTCAACACCTTCATTGTGTTGAGTTTGAAGTGGTGAATTTAGTTCCACATTGCTGAGAGATACGGTGTGTTAGTGTTTATAAGTGAGACAATCCTCGCCATACAAGACAGTTTTGTAGGGGAGTTATGTCCAACTCAAATATTAAGAGTTTTATTCTTAATTTTCTAATTTTTACTATGTCCTATGCAAAGTGAGTTGAATTGTTTACACGACAGTTTTTTATCAGAACAATTCTGTATTGTTTATATATTGTCCCAAAGTGAGTTGAATTGTTGATCAGTTAGGATTTTCCTTTTAATGCTATTTGTGCTGTGTGTGATGGTAACAGGCTAAAGAAGTGACAGAAAGGAAACTTAGAGAAAATACAAATGCTATAGAATCATTGAATGCGGAACTGCGTCATGAGAAACTGTTAAACATCTCAGCTATGACCAAGGCGAAAAGGATAATAAAAGAAAACACAGACATAAAGCGTGCAATTCAGTCAATTGGGTGCAAGATTCACATTTCTAATACCGGTGATTGTATTCTTGACATTGAAAACAGCCCAGAGAATGCTGTTCAAAAATTGCATTTTTCCTCTAGGCAAGTATCAAGTAGTGCTGTGAGTAACGACAAAAAGGATATATCTCTTTCCGTAACAGAAGATGATGATGAAAACAATGTTATTAGTCGAATTTGTGAAACACTATGCCCTTTTCGCAGTAGAGATGGAGGCTGCATGTGGCCAAATGGTGATTGTGCTCAAATAGGTAGCCAGTTTGTTGGTTTGAAGGCAAATTTTGATGCATTTGACCGGCTTTTGATTGATGACAATTATTTCAAGCCCAAGTAAATTGAAAATTTTCTTCCTAAATAGACTGATAGTGAACAGCTACATGGACCACTTTTGGTTTTCTTCTTTACAGTAGCATTTTTTGGACTCTCCGGAATTGTACAGGCTATTAGAGTCGGGTTGATTGAACCATGGGGGTTCTCACTATTATTTACATGTGTATAATTGTAAATTTAGGGACATCAATAGTAGCCAATTGCATTTGCATCATTCTTAATAAGATCAATTTTGTACAGAGGATGTTTTTCTATTGTTAACATTCTTAATGGAGACAATCAATCGTTGTCATGTAATTACATTACTTTCCCATTTCATTATGTTCACAACCTGATAAGGTTCAGCATATGCTAAGGGTTGCTAAGGTTCAGCATATGCTAAGGGTATTCTAAACATTAAACTGTTACTCATTACTTTCCCATTACCTGTCCTTTTTTTTTTAAATGAATTATAAAATAATATTTTTTTACTTCAAAAATGTTTCATTGAGAAGGTATATTACAGACTAATAAGATTATTCGCATAAGATGGCAATCTCAAAATTCAACAACTCATCCCAAAAATCGAAACGAAAATCAGAATTACAAAAGTATATTTTCATTAAAAAAAATTATTTTTTATTAAAGTACCTGGACTTTGATGTTTTTAAAATGTCAATTTAAAAAAAAAAAAACCATATCTGTACAAGTATCTGCACTGGGTACCGTACATGTACGGAAGCTACACTTAATAGCTTCTACACTTCTATTTTTTAGATGCATCATATCATAGGAAGCTACACTTAATAGCTTCTACAGTTTATAGACTCTATTTTTTAGGGTGGAAATTGCTTAATAATATATATATGTGGGCGTACTGCGACCAGGATAACTTTAACTATTTAAGTTCCTTTTTATGAATAAAAGTTCTGAAAAGTTACATTATAAGAACGACAATGCTAAAGAAAAATTCACTAAAATTACATTATAAGAATGATGTGGGAACAATACCAAACCAAGGGAGTAAAAATATTTTGAAAGAGCGACAACCAGCAACTACGATTTAAAAGAGTTCACTGTAATTTTTCATTATGTGATTCAAGGATTATAACCACCTAACGTTCTATAACTGCAAAGAATGATAGTTTTGGGGGTTAATATCTAACTATTATTGCCCTGTAACAACCAGCAGCTCCATCTGTTACGAAAATGAAACAAATTTTCTTTGAAACAGAGTGAAAATATTAAAGTAGCATCATCATTGTATACAACTAGTAATACAAATATCTATTCATTCCCCTGTGATCCAGTACCATCGGCATCTCCGTCATTCGGAGACCGTCCTCGAGCCTTCCTCTCATTCCACCTTGCCCATATCCAACTCGAAACAAGGAATGCTCCTACTGCATAAATCTGTAAACAAAATGGAATAATTTTTTAAAAACTCATCAAAGTTATCACTCATCACTATTTCAAAGTATAACATCATTAAACTTAGACACTTAATTAGACTAAAAATCAAACTGAAAGATCTTGATGATTCTTTCACTCTGATCTTCTAACAAGTTTAAATAGGGAAAATTACTTAACATTTGGTACCCAATCCAGGAAATACAAGAATGAAAGAAATATGCTATTGGACATTGAACATGTGCTTACAAGTGGAGACAATCTTCTTCCTATAAGTCGATTTTGTAGAATTGAGTTTGGCCCAATCAAGTTTTTTAACTTGGTTTAAGATCCAGTGGACCACCGGCTATTATTCCACTAACCGCCACAACAAGTGAGAACAATTACATGTCGGTTTTATAGGCTTAGAACCATATTTCTTAACATAATCTTCTAACCTTCTAACAAGAATATTAGTCACAATTTTGAACCATCCAATTTCAAAACAAATCTTAATCACTCAATCATTTCACAACTACACAATTCAAGTTACTATCTTTTCAACAAACTTATGTGTCAATTTTCTTTTGTGTTACCAAAACCCTAATCTGATATATACATACATAGAGTTGAAATTTGACTTAAAATAAAAGAAAATAAATAAAAATAAAAATGTAAACCTAACCTAATCAAGAATTGAAAATGAAAAGAATACCTGGTAAAGCTTAAAGGGATCAGAAGTCTTGGCAGAAAGAAGCTGAGAATCAGGTTGAGCCTGAAGAGGTTCGGGAACAACGACGGCGGATTGTTCGGTTTTCGGAAAAGTTACAACATTAGGAGCCTTTTCTTTTTTCACACCCTGATGATGAAGCTGATGATGGTGGCGTTTTGGTGGGAAGAAAAAAGGAGGGAATTTGAAGTTGAAACTGAAATTGGGGAAGAAAGGGATGAATGGATTCTTGGGCGTTTCAACTACTTCTTGTTGTGGTTGTTGAGTAGTAGTGGCGGTGGAAACCACCACTGTTCCGGTGGATTTGTTACTCATTCTGATGATTTTTGCGACGGCGGAGATACCAACGGAAACGGAAACGATGAATTTTGTTTTGAATTGCTTTGCTTTGATTCTGTAAGTTATTTATTTATAGAATTATTTCTGACTGCATCTCTCTGATATCTTTTATTTTTCTTAATTACTTACATATTCAAAAAATCAAATTATTATAATTGTAATAGTAAATTCAGTGAATCAATTTTATATTTATGGTATTAAAATTAAATAATTATAATGACTTAACGATAATAAACAATCTATTAAATTATGTGTATACGTGGTTTAATTATTAATAATCGTTGAAATTGAAGTTCCTTTTTTCATAATGTTTACGTAATAGTTGAGTGTAGGAAAACTTCATGAAAATCCAAAATTCAAGATAACTTCAATGTCACCTTCAAAAATTATTTCATATTTTCTTTTTAATTCCATTTTCCAATTCAATTTTTTCATTTTATTTTTCAACTTTCTTTTATTCCATTTCTATATAAATACATAGAAAACAATCCGATTGAATATTAATATTATCATGATTTTATCAAACTTGCTGATATTTTTTCAAATATAAGTATCAGAGAACATAATAGAATATAAAAGAAAGCTTAAAAATGAATTGTGTATTGGTTCACGCCATATATTGCAATTATAATCTTTATACATATTCAAGAATCAGAAAATAAACTATATGTTTTCGCATCAAGAGCTATTTGTCTAATTGATGCTATTCCTCCTATCACAACTAAAATTGAAGATCCTCCTCCAATCAATGTATTCACCCAAAATATTAAGCTTTGTTTGGAAGGCTTGAAAGTTATATTGAAAAAAACCATAGGCAAAATGAAATCAAGAGGAATGAATGCAAATGCTCCAAACAATGCCATTATATCCGGAAAGAATGGCAACATAGCTGCGAAAACTGTGGCTGCTGCAACTGATATTGACCTAGACAGTACCCTCGGCACAACATTTCGCATCGAAAACTGTCCTTTTTTCGGATCTCCGAAAATTGTCTCAAATAGTTCATTTGTTGGTTGCAAATATACCTGTAACATAGCCAAGTTATAGTTATTATTCATCCAGGTTATACAGAAATAGAAGACAAACGAACAACAAACTGCGATGTTCAGGTTTTCTTACCGCAGTTAATCCGAACACTTGAAGAAGGATGAGTATATTCGTCATCAAGAAAAACCATTTTGGTAATAATAGTTTTGTTTCCCCAATGTAGTTGGCAAGAACTGTTGCACCAGCTGCATTTCCAAATGCCCAATAACCAGAAATAGCCACACTGAAATATGTAGCTAATATAACAGAATAACAAACACATAGTCCTTTGAACATTTTTCCTTTCACAGGAGGTGCCAAAGTTGCCTACAAAATCGCACAAGAATTGCATCTAGTTACTCTCTTGACACGTGTGGTAAAATTGATTATGGATGTGTATGTTTGGCTTCGCTTTTGGAAGAGGCAAAATTCTCTGAAAAAGACTAACAAGATGTTAAACTAACCTGAATTTCTGGAATGATTCCACTAGCGTATGTTGTAGCTATGATTGAAATGCCATTGAAGACACCAAAGAGTTTATCTGTATGAGAGCCTTTTATAGAATAATGTCTCGGCGGCGCGTCTTTCGAGTGACCTGCATTGGATCATAATAAACACAATCGGTTGAATGAATCAAATGGCAGGTTCTGTCATACATTGTTAATGCCATTGTGTCTTCTTTTACTTACCGACGTATATCGAACCGACCGTTAGGCACGTTGCATAAGTCACACAGAGAATCAGAGAAATCAGATTAATGTGTCTCAAAGAGTGAAAAGATGGAAGTTGAGCCAAAACCATTGTTACAACTCCACATATAATGATAAATTGGTAAAGCTTCATTGCTCCTTCTGGATGATAGAGTTGATAAATGAACTGCAAGAAGAAGAAAATTTTGAAAAATTCATAAAAGCTATAAAAGGGAAAATTGAAATGACCCTTTTCATGTTACTACCTTGAGACTCTTTCCTCCAACAAGAGGACCACCAATTACTGTCCCAAAGCATATGATAAATTGAAGAGGCCCTATGTAGTATCTTGCCCATCTAGGTCCTGCAACAACATTTTCAACCAAATTATAAGTCTTTCAACGCCTCTGAAACAAGACGTGTCCGCCGTGTCAGTGTCAGTGTCATAGTCAACAATCAGATTAGCTCATCAACCACTTGCGCTACACCTCGGCGGTGATCTAATCAATGATAAAAACAAAAGAAAAGTAGTAAAGGAAATTGAAGATAGAAACTAACCTAAAATATCTCTAGCCATATCTCGAAATCTAAGCTGGCGACGACCGAGCTGAGCATGATGTTCTAAGACAAGAGATAAAAGATTATACGAATAGAATGTGATAACTCCTGCCAGAATCAACCAAATCATTCCTCCAAACCAACCCAGAAGAGTGAATGTAAATGGAAGTGTAAGAATCACAGGTCCAACAATAGATGTTGTCAAATGATAACCACAGTGTAACCAAGACCCTACAAACACAACCATATACTAAATTAATCAACAACATAGTAACAACAATAACATACTATAGTTTGAACACTACTAACCATGCGATACAAGAACAAACTTTGCTCCTGCATCTAATTCAGATGAACCAGAAGAGTGAGCATCAATTGCAAAACCCTTTTCACTATCACTTGTATAGATTTCTGAAGAACTTTGAGCAGCAGTTCCCATGTCAATTTCTTGCTGATTTAACTTCTCTGTGATACTAATATTATTATAATTCATAAGTATACCTTGATCTATCTAGCTAATAATAATTATGATATAACAGAAAAATATCTTATCTTATACACAACTACACAAATACACAAATCAAACAAGAAAAATAGATGCAAATTGACATAAATGTTGAAAAAGACTTAAATTAGTTTAGATGTAGAAACATGTTTGAATGATACTGGTCAAAGAAAAGAACCAGAATTACAATGTGTTGGAAACTTTTTTGGACATGCTTAACAACTTGCATCATTATTAGTTTATAATAAGATATTAATATATAGTATTGTGAGGTGGGATATATATATAAGTATAAAGTATTGAAGGTGGCTAAGGGGAATTGTCCTATGTGAATATAAAAGTCAAAATAATCAGCTACATAATATAATAAAAAAATCATATGCTAAATACTATGTATGTTATTTTTGGAGAATAAAAATGTTGACTAGATCCAGGCTGTTCACATTCCATGACTACTATGATGGTTTTATAGTCTTTTTCTTTGGGGGGTGAAGTGGTGTTATAGTATGGTATGCACATTGACACTCTGCAGCTTGTCAAACACAAGTCGTTGATATGAAGATTAGATTTTGAAAGTTCAACAAATTTTGGATTGGATTCTATAAAATAATGTGTATCACATGTTAAAGAATGTTTTTCTTAATTTGGTTATTTTGAATATTTGCATTCTAAGTTAAAACTTGCTTAAACTATACTTCATTTTTTATCTTTGTATTTTATATTTTATGATGTTTCAATTGATTCCTCGTTTAACCGTGAGAGAAGAAATATAAATTTTAAGTTTAATTATAATTAGCTTTGAGGTTATTAATTTAATTTAAAATTTTACTTTAACTATTATTTGATAACTATTACTTTTTAATCTTTTAAAATTATTTCGTTTGTCAAAGTTAATTATTTTTGTTAACTCTTTTTATTATGTAGAGCCTTCACGCTATCCGAATTTACTTTGTCGCGCGCTTGTGGATTTTTTTTGCCTTCAATTCATTTTGTGGTAACTCGTCAGATTGCAAATAGTATTTTATAGGCATCACCCAACTAGTTGATTGAGAGACTTCGACGACGTTGGTCTCACCTTCCACGATACTAGGAATTATTAGTGTCTCCTGAATTACCTTGCAATTGTAACTCGTTCTCTTCGAGCTGGTGCGTTTAGACAATAAAACTGTCTTAAAATTTTGCTCCCTGAACACATGAGTTTTCTCTAAAGTTTTGAAGCGCTCAGAAAGATCACGCACCTTCTTCAAATATTGATGAGTTAGGGTTCATTTGTCCAATATTCCTTAGCAACCTGTTTTGCTACCAACTAGAAATCATTTTGGCTTTGCGAGTTGACGTGCCTGCATTTAGGGCAAAAACAATGCTAGCGAACCTCATATTCGGCTTGATTGTTGCTGCCTTTGAACTCGAATTATAACGACTGTTCGATCAACATATTGTCTGGTCCATCTAACACTATTTCTGCGTCGCATCCCTTCACGTTGGAAGAACCATCTACTGACAACACCTAGGTGGGTGAAGTTTCCTCACCTATTATTTGATGCTTCCCATGGGTAGGTATTGGATGTTGTACTCTGACAACTAGAGGACCCAAGACATCATTCTTCTTACTAGATCTGGTTTCTTGAGGACATAGAGAATGGGATAGTTTATTTTTACTATTATCCGATGTCCTTGGAAAAAAGGCCTAAACTTCCTCGCGGTCACCACCAGTGCCAATGCGAGCCTTTCAATCTTATAATATCAAGCCTCAACACCCTTGAACACCTTGATCACAAAATATATAGGTTGTTCAACTTCATCTTTGTCTTGAACGAGTACTGAGCCCATTGTCTGGTCAGTAAAAGATAAACATAGGTATGAGACGAACCTGTTATTTGGTGTGTCAAGATGGGTTGTGATGCTAGGAATTCCATTAAGTTTGAGGACACATCATCACATTCGCTCGTCCATTCAAACCTCTTTATTTTTCTTTATTGTGGCAAGGAAGTGGAAAACCTTGTCACCTGCACAAGAAAGAAAACGAGATATGGCAACTAGGTTCCCTGTTAGTTATTGAACCTCTTTCACGTTGGATGGACTCCTTATATCAATGATGGCTTGACACTTGTTTGGGTTCACCTTTACGTCTCTTTTGGTCAACAAGAAACCAAGGAATTTGTTTGTTTGCATGCTGAATGAGCATTTGGCGGGATTCAAGCATATGTTATAATTCATGACTGACTCTAGGACATCTTGCAAATTTGTCACATGGCTCACCCTTTTTGTCACATGAATGATGTCTTGGCGCATGTTTGTTATAAAAACCTATCAGACGTATTTTCTCTGAGAGGAATTGGATTCTCCACCACCGGCCAAACCCCGACGATGGTTTTGGTAGTGATATTGAAGCTTTTCTTAAACATCCTCATGAGAAGGTGGTGAAAGCTACATTTAGTAACAATAAGTGTGCCTCAAACCAGTTTTACTGAACACGAATTGTACTTGCTATGAAGTAAAATACATGACAACCCCTAGTGATTAAAGTCTATTAGAGGTTTTAATGTACGTCGAGGGGTTGAGAGCTAGCTCACGTAGGGGGTGAATAGCTCTGTATATGTGGTTTTCTTTATGACAGTCAGATTAATCTATTAATGAGATATTTATAGCAATCCTAGGTTTGGATCCTATGTCATTTGAAAATTAATAGCAGTTGCTACTGAAAAGATGCAGAAGTGGACGATTAATCCATCGCTATTTCCGAGAACGTGGTCAAATGACCATTTTTTTATTGTTATAGAATAAGGACACATCATTTCCCCACTTTCCTATATCGCGCGGCCATTCCATTTGGAGGCGACATGTTCAATGAAAATGGTGACACATCTAGTAAACAGACATTCAGACTAGTAAACAGACTATCAGAGAGACGATATGGACTCAACTAAGGTACTTTATCTCTGTCTCGCCCCTTATGACTCTTTTAGGATATACTAATACAAAACTATTATATACTTTAATATAATTGTTTTGTTTATTTTATAATTTAAAAATAAAACCATTGGTTTTTTTAATGGTGATACAAATTTAAAATGATATGATTTTTATGATTTATTAATTTATTTTTAATAAAATTGCAAATAATTTATATGACTATGAATACTTAGATACTCACAAAATGTAAATATAAATATTAATGTCCATGCAAATATAAACTTAGGTATGTAGATTTTTTAAACCAAAAATATAAAAATGTAAATATAATATCATGCTCAATCTCTACTCATTATTCTCTTTCTAATGTTTTTTTGAATTATAATTGGTTGATACTATATAAAATTTATATTAAAAATAATAAGAGATTAATTACTATAAAGTGTTTATGATTAACTTATGGTATACAATTATTTTACACAATCAGTACATTTCAATTAAATTTAAAAAATAATTATAAAAAAAGAAAAGAAAAGAAATGTACTGTTTTGGTGAATTTTCCACGCACCACCCATTAAGGCTTTTTTTTTTTTTTTTCTGTCGCCTGCATGTTTGAATCATTTGTGTAACTTTACCTAAATTAAACTCTAAAAGATGTTTCATATTCCCAATCTCTCGTTCTCATTTTCCAAATTAAAGTTAATAAAGTAGGTCGTTGCAAATGGTAGATTTTCAAGTTTATTTTAACTATTAATTTCTAGAATGTGTCTGTAAATAAAAAAATAAAAATCAGAATGTGTTAGCTATCGTGATAGAAATATAATAGAAATACAATAGATTTTTATTATGATATTTTTTTCCTATCATTTATTTTTATATAAATAATAAATATATAATTTTATAATTTTATCTTTTTATGTTTTTAATATATTCTTTATTGAATAATTCAAATATATTTTACTTACAACTATAAAGGTTAATTTTTTTAGCCGATGATAACTATATGTAGAATTGTTTTCAAACTAAGATTTTTTTCCTTTTGGAATATTTGGAATGATGTAAATTTGAAATGAAGACGTATTAATGGAGTGAATATCTTGTTGACCAAGTAAAAAACAACTAATTTTGATTGGTCCAATTTCATTTTTTTCTACATTTTTCTCCACGTTCTCTCCACTTAGATCAGATACTAAGTTATAAATAGCGATACTTTCATCATTTATTTTTCGCGTTAGATTTAATATTCTGAAATTTCTCTCTTCTTTTCCATATTTATTTCTTCTGAAAAAATTTATTTTATATTTTCAAGTGGAATGTCTATGCCATCGAGTGGTTTTAACGACAATAGATTATGTATCTTCTGAACAATATCTATTGTGCAAATAGTTATTGTGCAATTGAATTAAATTGTTTTATTATGAAGATTTCTGGGTAATTAACTGTTTTGGATATTTTTAAACAGTATTACAAAATATTTTAAAGAGAGTGAACTTTTTGGTGACTTATCTCGATAACTTCTTCTTCGGTCATTATTTTCAAAACTGTAAAACAATAATTTTGATTAAATTAAAAAAAAAACTTTTATCATCTCTAAAATATATTATTTTAATCTCTTCCAAATATTTTTTAAAGAAAAAATCTATATATTTTGCAATCGAGATATTTTTAGGTTTTGAAAATAAGTAAGTCTAAAGTAGCATTCGCAAGCAAAAGCCTAATTTTCTGCCAGGAACTATAGACCAACAAAATAAAATCAATGAAGTAGTTTGAAAAGTTGGGTCACTATTTATTAGACATTATACTTTGACTTTATAAATATAAACAACAAGACTAATCCTCCATGTCACCAAAATTTTAGTTGTATTTGTTTAGGATTTGTTTTTATGCAGTCTGATAATCAGCTTGACCAAAAATATAATTATATTTAATTTAGATGTTTACATAGGATAATGGTAATTAACAAACATAGACACAACAATTGCTAAATATGTTCCTCCAAGAATACAGGAGAACAAAATTATTTATAAAATAATATTAAAATTTTTATTTATTAAAGTTATCGAATAATCAATATA